TATTTGATGGTAATAGTGGCACTCAGAAAAGTTACAAAATAAGAAGATTCGAAATTCCCCCACTTAAATTTAATTATTAAGGCTCCAAATGCTTAGAACGAATTTATCAGGTTTGCAAACGGTTTATCAAAACGTGGTTGGATTGCATCTATAAGATGCTAGCCTCGAGTGGCATGCATTTTCTGACGTCATCAAGGACGTTCTACCGTTACTTTCACCCCATTTTAATGAACTTCTATTCGCTTTTTCCATTGTCCAGTATAATAACAAAATATACTTCTGCCTTTCTGTGTCACCTCTTGAAAATAATTATTTTATGCAAAGAAAATAACAACCTGTGCTAAACGGCCCTGTGTTTTGGATGAATAATATTTTGGCCAATACATCCGCAATAAGCACGTTACAAGAGTGATCCACGGAACCGCTATCGTATCATGAAGAATATTTTTAGATTTAACATTGGGATAGGGAATTATTTCACAGCAATGACCTTATTTGGAATAAAAATAAAAAAGGGCCAATAAGAAATTCATCTATTTAACATTTGTTATTAAATTGCCCAAAGTTGAAGGACCGTTAACAGTGTCTTGAAATGTGACGTGATTTTATCTCCCAGATAATAATCTGAAATAAGACGAATTTTCGAACATCATTTTTTTCTTTCCTAAATTTTCCTTACTCCGCTCTCCAAAAACGTGTATAATTAACATATACACTTTCTTCATACTATGTCACTTTTTGTCGATGTGCAACCTTCACGGAATATACTAAATTAGCGCCAACTTAAAATTCTTCATAAAAAGAACAGAGTGTGTATCCACACGGATCAATCCGACCTTGAACGCTAAGGAACAAACAAAACCATATTGACCATCCTAACAAGTGGATCAAAAACTGACGACCATTCTTGCGTTTAGCTTCCACCTCAAGATAAAACTTTCAAAATACGCTGCGAGGTAAACGCAAATAGCATCTGTTTTGAGAAGACTCAGGTCATAATGCAAACATATAAGATGACATTTCAATTCAGAATGAATCCAACTGATTTAAGCAAACTGAATTCATTGTCGACCGAATGGGCATTCGCGGCCCATGCAATACCTGGAAACATGCGCTATTTTATTCCGGCTCGTTGCCCAAAATTACAAAACCAGGTCATTTTGGGAGGATATACGCACTCTCCTGACAGCAGTTTCAGTCTGAGTGTGTAATATGACTGCGATATCGTAAAACACGAGAAATTCGAGTCAACGCTTATTTAGGACTCTGTACGACACAGAGATTACACGAGCAGGCGGACTAACAGTCTCCATGGGCGAAGCTAGAGAACTATACTCCGCTCCCAGTTGCCAGAAGAGGATGCAAACACTGAAGAGTTAAATACCGCTACTGACGAACCCCGGGTCTCTGAGTCCTGCTTCGAAAAAGCAGGTCTCAAACAGGGCCGGACGCTAACATCTCTTCGGAGAGCACCTTAGGTATGAACCAATAATAAACATTAAACGCATTGAGTCTGCATAGACCTGAGACATCCAAGCGAATCACTGCCCAATAGTCAGGTGGTACCCTTGCACAAATGAGCCTACTTTGTTCCTTCCGATAGCCTAACTAGCGTTGGTTGTCATCCTGAGGATAATTTCCAAATGTTTTCGCTGCCTTGAATAGCGGCATCCCTCAAATAAGTTATGCATGCTATCTCATAAAAGGTCGACTAGAATTCACGCCATGTTTTAATTTCAAAAGACTACTTGAGTAGTTTTGTCAGATTTATATGAAAAACAAAAGACGTTCTTCGGAAAAGTCGAGATTTTCTTGTGAATTTTCGATCTGGTGACACCAACCTGTCGTCAGACAGAATGAACACGAGGGAGAAAGCTAGGTTGTCATAGCAGAGCAGTCGGTGTGATAGGACAAACAGACCACTGACGTGTGAGGGGGTGGGCTCTAGAGGGCAGGGTAATTCCCTGAGTGAGAAAGAAGGAAGGAAGGGGAGGCGGAACAACGACTGAAGAAAGGCAACGACGTCAAAGGACAGGAAGCATTTATCGGTACTGACTTTGAGGCCTTGTACCCTGCGAAGGAACGCTTGCGAGTTGTTAATGCCCTAGTCCGACCCATGAGTGAGCCGTTTCAGACGACTGTATAACCACTTAGTTATATTGTAAGTGCTGTGCTGGAGGGAAAGGGTGGGTGGTGCATCTGTTGGACTGCGGGCGGCTGTATTCGTGGGCTTTGATGCGTGATTAGGGCAGGGGGCAATCAGTTGTGAAGTTAGTCCCTCGTAATGGGCATCTTTTTCAACGTGGTGGTTGAAACTTCCCGCAGTCAAGTATCAAGCCTGGGAAAATTCCCTCGCTCGCTTTGAGTTTGCTATAACGGCGAGCTCAGTGCCATCCTAATTGAGTCGGTGGTCGTACTTGAGTGCATCGTCAAAGACGAGGAACAGGGGGTCTCGCCGACGGATAGCTAATTTATGTTTGTTAATACGGGTGGCCGGGCATCAAATTGTATGGCCAACATAGACGCAAGAGAAATTGACACACGAGATGCGGTGAATTACATCCGTTCTTTGCTCTTTGAGGATGGGATCCCTCACTCGAGATAGTGCTGCGCGTAGTGAAAATGCCGGTTTGTGGACAACGTGAATATCCAATTGGCTGAACTGCCGGGCGATTATTTCAGAAGTTGCACGCATATATGGCAATGAGTAGAATTTTCGCATCCCATTCTCTCCGTTGGCGGTCGGGTCTGGCGACTGTGTCTGGTGCTTGAGATAGTTATTTTCAAATCTGATCGGATATCCGTTGGAGCGGAATAACCAATACAGATGAGCCAGTTCTTTGTTCAGGAGATCGTCGCTGTTACAATAACGGTAGGCCCGATGGAACAGATTTCGGATGCAACTTCTTTTGTGAGCTGCAGTGTGGTTG